CAACAGCTACCAAGCGAGTATTGGCATGGCTCCGTATGAGGTGTTATATGGGCGCCCATGCAGATCGTCGATTTGTTAGGAAGAAGTGGGCGATAAAAAATTGTTCGGCCCAGAGCTGGTAGAGGAGACTACATCCAAAATAGTTAAGATCAGGAAGAACATTCAGACGGCTCAGAGCAGGCAGAAGAGTTATGCGGACACCCGAAGGAGAGATTTAGCGTTTGAGAAAGGCGACCGGGTGTTCCTTAAGGTCACTCCTTTCAAGGGAATTAGTAGGTTCGGCAAGAGGGGGAAAATGAACTCCCGATTTATTGGACCATTTGAAGTCTTAAACAGGATTGGTACCGCCGCCTACAGACTAGCACTGCCTCCAAGACTTTCCAAGGTCCACAATGTATTTCATATGTCCATGCTACGCAAGTACAACCCGGACCCCTCTCATGTCTTGGCCCACAAACCTCTCCCACTCCATGAGGACTTATCCTACGAAGAAGTACCAATCGGCATTACGGATATAAAGAGTAGATTACTCTGCAACCGAAAAATATCCTTTGTAAAGGTCGTATGGTAGAACCACACACCAAGGGAGGCTACGTGAGAGCTAGAATAAGACTTTAGAACCCAGTACCCCCAGTTGTTCGATCGAGAGTAAGAGGCAAATTTGAGGTACCAAATTTCTTTTTAAGGGGGGAGAGTTGTAACACCTAATTATTTTTATTATATTTTATTTTTATTATTTCTATATAAATATAAATATGTATTGATTGAATTTTATTTATTTTAATTTAATTAAATGAAAATAATAGTAATAATAATAATAAAAAGGGTGAAAAAAATAATTGATGATTTAATTGAAAACAATTTTGAGGAAAAGGGGTGAAACTTTAGGTTCTGGGGGTATTTTTGAAAGAAAAATTAAAAAACAGGGGGGTCAAAAAGTAATTTTAAAAAATTACACCACGTCAGCTGGTCAGTAGCATTGACCAACCAGGATGTGCCAGGTGGCAGAGACGCTGACGCGAGAGGCTACATGGGTGATCCGCGTCCGCTCGATCGAACGGCTGAGATTTGTTCTCGTGCGCACGGACGACCCCGATAAAAAAAGCACACGGACGGCCTAAATTGCATTACGCAAGGACGGTTCAGATTGAATCGCGATGAATGGCCCAGATTCACTCTCTATTTAATCGCGATCGGACGGTTCAGATTAAAAATGATGGACGGCCTAGATCAAAAGCGAATGGGTATAAATAACCCCATTCACACCAAAACCATAACCTTAGCCGCCAGAGCCCCTCGTCGAAAAAGACAGCCCAGCCGCCGGGGAGCCGACCGCCGCCACCTGCCGCCGCACCAGAGTAATTTTCGACCGCCAAACGAGGTAAAAATTCTACCATTTACTCAGAATTTGATTTCAAACCCACCCATGGCCAAATCGAAGTGAAAGAACCGGCCAATTGGCCGAAAAACACCGTTGAAGCTCAGTGGCATCGCCGCGGGGTGTTTCCGATGAGACCCTTCTCGATTCCAGTTCGATATGATTTTTTCACCTTTTTTATCACCGTTTCCTCCTCTACAGGTTGACCGGAGCAAGACACGCAACCGCAACGTGAGCCGGAGGAGCCGCCATACCAGAGAGTCCCATCGCCGGTGAGTTTCGATTTTCTACGTTTTTTCGGCCCAGCGAGGGCCCTAAGTGTGTTTTCTCACAGGAACCGATGCAAGTTTGGCTGAATTCGGCCGAAAACTGCCGAAAACAGCTAACCCGAGGCGGATTGCTGCCGCAGGCGGCGACGACGTCGCCAGAGCACGGCGTAGCCGCCGTGCCAGATTTCTGAAATTGGTTGACTAGGCCCTGGGACTAATTTTGGGTTATTTGGGACATTTGTAAGTACCGTAAGTGCGTTTCAGTTCCCAAAGAAAAATTTAGGAAACCTAGGAACCGCCCATAGGTGCAGTAACCATTTAGCTTTTCGGTGTCAAATCAAGTAAGGGCCCCTCACTCTATTTTCTATCATGGAATTGAAGTTTGAATAAATGATAATACTATATTTTGTACAAATTAAATAGATATGCATAATTAATTAAGGTTGCTAATGGAGCCCGAACCAGACATAATTCTCTATCGATTCCTGCTTGATTTATTTTACAGTTTAAATGCATTATCGTATCTGGTTTATCTATTCTATGGTTTTAAATGCATGTATTACTGTCTTACTTGACCACTGTGTGATTTTAGAGTTTAAGATATGATTGTATTACTGGTTGCATGTTTATTGTCTATGTGATTTTGTTTAACTTGGTAATAGAGACTAAGGAAAAACAAATAAGGTGACAGCCTCACTAGATATCCTAGGAGATGGTGGACGGACTGGCTTCATAGGGAACCCTACCGTAAACGTTGTCTCACACCAGACAGAGTATGGAGACTTGGTCATTTGGCGCTCATACCGGACGAGGTATGGGGACAGCCTGCTTCACCCTCATACCGAATGGGGTATGGGGACGACCCTGGAATTAAGATTATTAAAGAGAATGATTCACGTGTTGTAGGGACACCCCTATGGATCCCCATGGATACTAATAGGATAGTGAAAACGAAAAACGGTGATAATCAGTTATTGTTAATGAATACAGATTTATGATATATTTTATGTTACTGATTATGCATGAAATTGTGATCTGTATGATATTATTGCTTATGTAATTTGTTTCCATCAATTCTCCGATGGTAAGAAAAATGGTAAATGGTTTTATTTTAAATAAATGTATTGGTTTAAATCTACTACTCCGTTGGTTATTTTGATTTTCTACTAACATTTACTTCTGTGACGGTGATATAGTATGTTGTCTTTATTGGGCTAGTGTAGCTCATTCCTTATTTAACCATTTCAGATCAGGAAGACCTGGTTCTCGAGCCCGATCCACAAAAAAACTGTGAGTAGATGCTAGATGCTTTATAATTTCCTTAATTTTTCTCATTTCTCGTATTTATTTTAGAGAACTTATTCCGTGATATTGTTTAGTACTTTTAAGTTATTGTGTAAGAAATGTTAAGTTTAATTTTTTATTTCGTTTCCGTACTCAGATTATTATATGTATTTTTTTTTAAATTTTCGAAGTCGTTACAAATATAATATATATATATGTATAGTTTGTCATCATAAATATTTTAAGCGGAGATGGATAGCATGTCTTGAGAAGAAAAAAAAAACATGGAAGAAAACTAATGGAGCAAGTTGCCAATAGTTTTCCTCAACTAATCCCAATATTTTGTATGCAGCAATTAATTAATTGATTATCTTGTACACCCATTACCAAATATCTGTATGTATACACATCAGATTGCACAAGCATTTTTTTTTTATAAAAAAAAAAAAAGAATCACAAAGTCTTGCTACATTTATATGTATGTGTCACACACACATATATATATATATATATTATGAGAAGGGTGTGGATGTTATTTAAAGGGTGAGTTTTATCATTCAATTTTACTAATTTACAAGTAAAATTTACAAGTTTAATTTGTAAACTGTTAAAAATGAATAGATAGGTTGAATTTAATGTCATTGTTAGGTGGGTTGTTTATTTCAAATGATGCAACATTATGTACTTCAATCAATCATTGAATGCTTTCATCACAATGTTGGACTTTTGATAGTAATTTAATTTATTGTTTTATTTTATTTTAATCCAGTGATTATGATAATTAATCAAATCCAATGGGCCATTAAATATTTTGTTCAAAACTACTACATTGATATTCTACCAACACTATTTTTATTCATAAATTTTGATTGATTAGACTCTTCCAAAACTTTTTTAAGAAATAATATATATACTTGACTATGTCTAAAAAATAACTAAAGATATCATCAATTCATAAATATATATATATATATTCAACAATTATATACTTCATAGGAATATATGTTTGTGTCTATATGTAAAATCAAAACTGATTATTTGATATTTCTTTTATCCTGAAATTAATGTCCAAGACTAATTTATAAAAAATTTCAAGATTAAAATAATGTAATGAAAACTTATTCTTTTTAAGTATTTTAATTGGATATGCATGACAGGCCGAGCACTAATTATGGTTTCAATTTTATATCATACTTGATTTTTTATAGTTGTAATTTTTAAGTTTTATATATATTTTTTATTTAATTAAATATTGGTTTATACATATCTTCTCAATCTAAGCTTCTACAGATAATATATATATATATATATACATATAACTAGTACCTAAATCTAAATACATATTGAAGTGAACCAAAATTTGTGCTACTGAATTTTGTAGGTAGCCCGTGGTACCATCAAACATTTAATGGGCTTGTTTTCGTGTCTTTTACTCCTTCAAATTGGATTGATTTTATTTTTTATTTTTCCCAGTTACTTGTTTCTGTAAATATTAATTGTTAATTATTAATTAAATATTAATTATTAAATTAACATAAGATAACCCGAAAATTATAAAAATTACTCGGACTAATTCCTAGTCCTAAAAAAATATTATCTTATAAAGTATTTTTAAGATTATCACCCAAAAACAAAGACACTAATAGAATTTTCTATTTGTATAAAGGAGGAAGCCGACTTTACAGAAAGGGGAAATGAAAAGGTAAAACTGCTGCTTTGGTAGTTGAGATTGCTTTGCCAAAAAAAGTCAAAACGACCTTGGGTTGATATATAATATTCTCGAAGTTACGTAAAAATGTAAAACGATGTCGGATTGGCAGTGACATGCCAACTCTGTATATGACAATTTCCTGGCATGGCGAGTCTTCATTATTAAACCTCCCCACCACTTTCTCCTTTATTTGTCCGCCAGTTTCTCTATTACTCTGGTTTTTTCTCAACTTCTCTTCTTCACTTTTTCTCTTTCTACCCTTATTTTCTCTGATAAAATTACCTTTTTTCTCTTTAAAAAATATATATATATATATATAGAATTTCCTGAGAAAAAAAATTAGCAATCCAAAGTTTATTTGAATGCTTTTTGTTTCCCCTTTGCCTCTGAAACAAGGTAAGCCTTTAAGATTTCTGAACAGAGTAGCTCTGTTTTCTCTGTCTTCTTCTTTTTTCTTTTTTTATTTTATCACAAGACCGGACAACTTTGTCTCTGTATCATCTGCGGACCAAGAACATTCTTCCTTCTCATTATAATATACACACATATATATATATATGTATGTATGTATGTGGAGAGCTATAGATCTTCAAAAAAGCTGCTAATCTTTTTGTCGTCTACACTCGAAACCATATGCTTCTTATGCATCATTAGTACCCATCATATTTGACTTCCTGGTCCAATCCAACATTGTCAAAAACTTGAAATTCAAGCCTCTAATGTTCTTCAGATAAGATTTATTAGCCTGACATAATTGAATCTTTCTCCTATCTTTCTCTCTTTCCACTCCCAGCTTCTTCATGTGATCAGCTTCTACTTCTCCCCTGTTTTCTTCTTGTTTAATTTCTCAGGAAGATTTCTGTTGTGGGTGACAATGATGTGCTCAGAAATAGGTCCCCGGATCTCATTTTCTGGAGAACTCGGCAAAGAAGAGGAAGTTGGAATAGCCAGTGAGTCAATAAGGGATTCTTCGTTTATTGACTCGAGCTCTGAGTTTGAGTTCAGCATTTGTAGCAGCTTTGGACAAGAATCTTGTTCAGCAGACGAGCTTTTCGCTAATGGCATGATCCTCCCTATTCAATTTCATGAGTCGGTTCCAGTTTTTTCTGCAGTTAAACTCCGTAACCGTGACAGCCCACCTCTGGTTTCTCTTCCTCCTCTTCCTGCAACTCCTGACTCGGTGGAGAAATCAAGAAAACAGAGTAAAACAGAGACCATGGCTCTGAGTTCTGATAATTCGGAGGACAAGACTCAGACCCAGAGTCAGAGCAAATCATTTTGGAGTTTCAAGAGAAGTAGTAGTCTAAATTGTGATATCAAGAAGAGCTTGATTTGTTCTTTGCCAATTTTGTCTCGAAGCAATTCTACTGGTTCTGTTCCTCCAAATCCAAAAAGGACGACAATGTTAAAGGATGTTCAGAAACAGAGTTCAAACAGCAAGCAGACATTAACACCAAAGCCTCCTTCTTCTTCATCTTGCCGCAATGGTTATGGGGTACCACAAAAACCACCTCTGAGAAAAAATAATGGAGGAAGCTATAACAATGGAGTTCGAATCAGTCCAGTCCTAAATGTCCCACCTCCTTACATTTCTAAAGGGACTGCGAACCTGTTCGGGTTTGGTTCTTTGTTGCGCAACGGATCAAAAGATAAGAAGAACAAGAAGAAGTGATTCTTTCACTGAGTTTTAACGTGGAAGAGATGAAGATTCACCGGTGTTTTCTTAACTGGGTCGTGTTGATAGAAAGAATTTCACTGTTGAGATCAAGGTAAAACTGTATGTTTTCAAGAATATTTTTTTCTATATGAATTTATGAGAAGAAGAAGAAGAAGGAAGATAGAAAAAGAGGGTTGTTTGGATATTAATTCATGCATTAGCTAAAGGTGTCACTGGCTTAGGGGACACAGAAACAGGCTTCCTTTTTCCATGCCTTGTCTCATTTATTAGTTTCTATTTTATAAGATGGTTTTCTTTTTTTTTTCTTTTGGAATACATTTTTTATCTATTTAAAATAATTTTTCTTCTTAATTTGATTAAATTACATTTTGTTTTCTGCATATTCTGATACTAAAGTTCAATTAAATCAACCTACAAGTGAGAGCTGAAAGAAACTATAATTTAGATATGATAAAAAATTTGAAAGCAATTTTGGGATATTGTTGATAAGAAATTGTTAAAGTAAGAAACTTTTGAATTATGTGTTTCCTTTTTTTTTTTTTTGTTTTAAAGAAAAAAATGAGAGATATGTATGTATTGTTTAGGTGGGTTTATCATTTGGGTGATGAAGACAAAAAGGAAAAATTTCATGCCCTGGATTTTTGAGAAGACAAAATCTAATTTATTCATTTTCTGATATGTTGTTTGTATTAGGTTCAGCCGCCTAGGCTAGTCTAATGCTGCTGGGGGCCATTGCCTTAGCCTTTTCTATGTCCCCTCTGTATAGAATTTGACCCAAGTGACCTTGACCCTGGTGGAGAGTCCTATAACATATTTTAATAAGTTCTTTATATATATATATATATATATATATAATTTTTATTGATTTTAATAGGTAACAAATTAAGAAAAAGGATTTTTTTTTAAAAGCAAAATTTTGACTAGACAATTTCCAAAATTGTTCCTTTAAGGATTAGCAAAGCAAGTATGTTGACGAAACATTGATTTCCCAACTTAATGCAATTCATATTTCTTAATCAATTTCCTAACTTTACTTTATACACCTTAGAAAAGGGTAATGCATATGATGGAAGAATTTCAAAAGAGATGTGCTTTTCATGGTGTACTTTCCTTAATTTGCAGGTCAAAAATTCCAAACTTCAACAGGGGAGGCAAGCATATATGCCTTCTTCTCTTAGCAGCATGGTTATAGCCCAGCCTGCCTTTTTGCTAATCAAAACATTACACTCTATATATATATTTCGACCATGTGAGATCTGGTTACTTGTTGAAAATGGAAAAGATGAGTAAATATATCTGATCAATGCGTTCTTCGTTTAATCAGTATTCTAGATGTTAAAAGATATATTTTGTTCGGCAAAACTCAAAATTTCAAATAAAACATATTGTTTTCTTATAAAATTTTGAAGGGGCTAATCAAATAGTTCCAATCAATAAAATACTTCTCTCCTCTCTCTCTTTCTCTCACAAAAGGCATAATGAAACAATATAATCCGGTATATAAGGCAGCCTTGCTACTCGTAGAGACAACCTGCTAAGATCTCATCCTATCTAAATCCTATGATCACCCTGCTCTTGCCATCCCTCCATCTTGCATATACCCCAGCTTACCAATGATCAGCAATTCCTGCCAATTCATTAGAGCATACTGAAATGATCATTGTGCTCACTGTTCTTATCACAAGCGATAGGAAAGTCCAAACAGACCGCAAGGAAGGAGGAACTTAAAGACAAATACTAAGGCTTTGTTTAGTTGTAGAAAGCTGTTTTAATGTTTTCTTTTTTGAATTTCTATATACGTTGGAAGTCAAAACAGGATTTGTAAAATAATTGAGAAGTTTGAAATAACTTTTTTTTTTTCATGTCATACTTTAACTATTATCTTTTCCATTTTTTTTTTCACTTTCAGAAACTGTACAAACTTGTATAAGTATATTCTAATCCAGAAAATGAAAAAAGTTAGAGAGAAGTTTTCTACAACTAAGAAGGACCTAAGCGCATGTATACAGTAAGTATGATGCCCGTATACATGTATCGCTATTCTTGGTTTCCTAGTTAAATAAATATTGATCGATATTCTGGTATCAGCTATGCACTTTTTGCTGTAAACGATTTCTTCACAACTCGGGTAACAACAAGGTCTGAATCATTTACTTTTCAAGACAAGTGCTTCACATTCTTGAATTTGGATTTTCTAACACAATCAAATTCCTTGAAGCATCATTTCCTCTCAGAATTAAGAGCGAATTAAATACTCTGTGCTCCCTGAGAAAGAGAAATTACCACAGAACATCATTCCCACATTACAGAGTCTTTATATAGTACCAAATCTGTGCTTCCCAGTAGCTGTTACCTTTGTAGAAGAACTATGAGGGTACTTGGTAGATGCTCTTTCTAAGCATTGCAGCATAAAATGCCAAAGACACAATGATCGCCAATCTAGTTCTATACAAGAACCAAGATGGCAGCTTATTCCTCGAGAAAGTTTAGTTGACCACTGAAAAACTGCATGCTAAAACCACTCTTTGAGAATTCTAATCAGGCCTATCTGTTTATATTCTTTTCTCAGGCCTCAGCTCCAATCCGAGCCGTAAAAGCATGCCAACAATACATGGCAAGTGCTGACTTGCCCCATATTTATCACTTAAAGCAATTTCCATAAAGACCTTTCCTTTATCCCATTTGATTCAGAACAATTACAACTCTTCATAAAATGGCATTATACTGGAAAATATAGATCAATGAGCAAATAATAGAGACAGCTTTCTAAATTTCTATTGGATTATGTAATTACTTTCAAATGAGTTATAAGAGAATTACCCTTAATCTCAACTAGTTCATTGCCTGACACACTTGGCTCAATTGACATAATGCTTTTGGGAACTCAAAATCCCACTACCATCCCCTTGGTGTGTCCTCTTATAATCGGCAAGTTCCCCATAAAGGAAAAAGAAATTAGTCAATAGGACAAGATAGGTTAGAGCTAAATCTCTCTATATTCATTCTCTTGCTATATAAAGCATCAAGAAGATGATATTACAATTTGAATCACACGACCCTGAGCCAATTCCAGTCATACATATAAAGCAGAGAAGCAAAAGCAAAATGGGGACTGCAGATTGATGGCATGGCTCATTGTCTCAACTGCTGTAAGTGAAAATGAACATTAACACAGATATAGTCTACGCTACAAATGCATCTTCTTTCCTAGATTTCAAAATCAGGGTGCTACCAGAAAGAAAAGAAAAAACTTTCTGCCCACAGTTCAACTAAGAAAAGCAAGCAGCACCAATGGAATTTATTCTCCAAATAAAAGATCCACTAGTTAAGTTTCAAAGGAGACATCCATATACCTGAAAAAGTCCATCTTATATACATTACAACAGCACTTGTGAAAGTCCTACAGATATATCAAGAAAGAACTGTGACTTTCACATAAATATTAAAATACATGAGCATTTTCATTTTCATTCCGTAAAACTGAAATTATCTTTGATGAATTTCAGAATACGCAATAAAATTCAAAATAAGTAATTAGAGGATTATTGAAAAACAAATATATCGAACTCAAAGTCAATTGAGACTCACAGAATTAGTAGGGAAGCAAGTGTTAAGGAAATTACATTTTCACTGCTTCTCCAACTTATATCACTTTGTCTGCGTGCTAATTACCATTCCTTAGACCACAATGTACAATCAGTCATCAGACAGATAGCTTTGAAGCATCAAAGATACCAGCTTTGGTCTCATCTTCTACCCTGCAGAATCCCCACTGTTTATAAAGCAACTAAGGTCCGAGTTAAGCAAGTACAGAAAAGGGAATTCAGTATTACCTTTCATGATTCAGGAAGATCGGAAACTTTATATAAATCTTCAGTAATTTCAGTCAGCCACAATCCCGGGAAAACTGACTGCAAATTTTCATGACAAGACAATCAAGCATCCACTTAACAAGTCAACCCAGATATGATTTATAAGGGAAGTCAAAACAAGAACAAAGAATGAATCATCATTTAACCAAATTAGGATCAGTGAAGAAACCGTCTCTCTCTCTTTTCCTAGTCTCATAGAAACCCCAGAAAAAAGAATTTAAAGAAAAGAAAAAAACAAACTTTCCTTTCCCCGCATTTTCTCAGCAGACCAAACGTGAGCAATAGCTAAAGAAAATGAAAACTAGAAGCGGTATATCTTACAATCACTTGCTTCTGCACAACCCTAGCCCTCTTCTTAGGTCTCCTGGGCGGCCTTTTTCCGGTCATCGCCAGAAAGTCCTCCACAATTTCCTCTCTCAAAAGCGAAACGGCAAACTTCACTCTCTCCTTCTTCTCTCCGTCATCTTTAGCAACTACAGTGGCGCAATCGTCTCTCCCGGGAGAATCAAGCTTAGTTTCCTCTCTCGGCTCATTACACGCAGCTCTTCTCGTCCTCAAATTCCACGGTCTGAGTGGGATACTTTCATCTCTTCCTTCTTCTTCTCCTCCAAGAAACGAGTCTTTCACTTTCTTCTCCTCGAACCTTAGATCAAAACGAAGCTTTTTCCTCTCACCCATTTCAATATCCTTGCTGGTTTCTTTCCAAGCATCGAAATTGGGACTCGATTTCGAGCTCTGTGTGGCGTCGAGATTGACGGGTTTGGATTGGAACCCATTAGGAAGCGAGCGATCAGGCGACGAAGAAGAAGAAGGTTGGAGATTGACGCACCTGAGGTGTCTCTGGTGACCCCATTTCAAGCACGGCAAAGTGAAGTTGTGAAGTCGTTTTGATCTATCGGGTGGCGCCATTGTCATCAATCAGCTCCCCTCTTTCTATCTCCACTACGCTTTTCAATTATAAACTCTATCTCTGAAAAACTTTCTGTCCACAAAGTTTCTCTGCTTCGCTTTCTGTGTTGTTATGTGAAGTCCTTGAAGAGAAGGTTGCTCTGTAATTCTCTGTTTGCAATGAATTCAAAAAAGACGGAATGGGTTTGAATTAGCGAGTTATTTCAGAGAATCAGAAGCAGAGAACAGAAACCGGGATTTTATTCTTGGGTATGAAATCGCCGGGAAATTGTATAAATGATTGAGGAGAGAGAGAGAGAGAGAGAGAGAGAGAGAGAGAGAGAGAGAGAGAGAGAGAGACGTTGGTCTAACGTTCATTAGGTGGACTTTTGGTAGGTCTTTCCCAACTTGTATAGGAGGCAATTACGGGTCGGGTTAGAGTCGGGTTGATCTGTGGTCGAAAATCATTGATCAATGCAACCGGGTAGGTTTTTGTGCGTGAATGGTAAAAATCTATTATCCGGGTTAACATGAGGGTCGGATTCATATTATTTTAGGGTAAACTACATTTTATATTCTATGTTTTTGCAATTTATACAAAATTTATTATTTTTTATCAAATAAAAAGTTAACAAAAAAATATATCTAGCATGTCTAAATTGAATAAGAAATAAGACGAAATATGACCCCAAAAAAAAAGATATAATATGCTAATTATTTTTTATTTATGATCAATTATCTATTTTTAAAATTTTTATTTGATAGAAAATATGTTTGAAATATTAATTATATATGTCATAAAATGACAAAAAATAGTATAATTTTTGTTGAGACAAAACTATTATAGAACTTTCTATAAATCTAGTTTGTAAGATATAATATTTTATTCAATTTTATAAAAAAAAAAAGTAAATTCTGTATTTATAAAAACAAATTATAAAAAGAAAAAATATACTTGGTCTTATATTAAAAGATTATAATTAAATATTTTTTTAAAACTATAAAGAAGTATATTCTTCTAATTGAATTTGAACTCTTAAAAACTCCCATATTAAAGAATTTGATTTTTATTATGTAATAAAAATTGAATCATCATTTACGTTTAAGACCTTTCAACTCTGAATGAATGTGAATAATCAAATCTACACCTTGTTTTTCGAAAATAAATATTTTCTTTTTCTTGGAAAAAAAAAATCAATTCACATAATAAAACAAACAATTATTGTTTCACTCAGAAAAAATATCTTAAAGGTATAATATCTAGTTAAATTCACTAAACATGTATTTTATGCTTGAAACAAATGAATCATCTTTACAAAGTTTATTTAAAATTCGAACTTAATATAATAAAAAATTATAATTTAAAAAAAAAAAGTAAAAATTGACATTAAAAAAATTTTAAATAAAATTATAATGAAGTTTCAGATTTCATTGCATTGTAATGGTCATTTAAAATTCTTATGAAACCCCAAATAAAATTTTAATTATATTCTGACTAAATTATTTAGAGTTTATAAAAATTATTTACAAGTGAAATGGATAAAATCAATATCCACATTAGACTTGCAAATTTTTAACAATATCATGTTAATCGCTTTGCCTTTTTTTTTTTTTTTAATCCAATTATTCAAAGGGAAATGTTCTTTAGGGAAAACTGAGTTGGTTCAAGAACACAGTTTCAGTTACAAAGTCAGATAGCTACATTTCATTTTAATGTGTTCTAACCGTTTCTAAATTCTTAATATGTTGTTTGGATTGCTTTTCTTCAAATTTTCAACAAGAATGATGAAATAAAATATAGATTGACAATGTTGATGATCCCCTCTTTACTTAGCTTTCCTTTAAAAAAAAATAAAAAGATAATATTTTTTGACCAATCCCCATCCACCGTGTATGTACATAATAATAGATTATGCGATCTTGTAATGCATTTTTTAGTACACGATAATCAAGTTTTTCTGACAAGGCATGTCAACTTATCCACCCAATTGATCTAGTTTTGACAAATGATCTACGCCGGCGAAATTAAAAAATTTGCCATCTACCCCTCACATACTTTTTCAAAATTCAAATTCACATATTGGTTAAAAACTCACACCCATAATAACTTGAGCTATACCATTCTATTATTCACCTTTCCACTAAGTAAACAGTATCAAAACATATAAATACAAAATGAATTTCCCGAATTTTCTACATACAACACACCGGAAAGAAACGCCTATACCAAAAAGTCCCAAGCAAACTTGGTCTCTTCCACTGTCTAGGAGTGCAAGGATTTGTACTCTGATATTAGAGGCTCCTACGTAATTCTCTATACTCTTCAAATGAATCTAAGCAAGGACAATCTGATCCTTTACCAGGCTTCTATACAAGTCGTATTGATTGTGAATCTATTGCAATCGTAAGTTAAAACCAAAAAAGAAAAAAGACCCTTTTGGCTATACAATTATTTACAAATGATAAGCAGTGTACATTTTGTGGGTGAAAGGAAACATTCATCGGTTTGATGTAGGGCAGTAGGGAGCTGTTGTGTCACTCTTGATTACCCGGGTGTTATAAGACCCACAGGATCCGCATTTGTGATATAACCAGTGGAAACGCGCAGTGCCTTTCTGTTCACAGTCATTGCAGAGTATTTCCTGGATAGTAAATGAATATGTTAAGAGGATAAATTCCATCTTTTGCTGTTGAAACTGACAAATAATTTGACTTTGATTTTGAAGTTGTCATCTAGGGCGGCTGATTAGTCTGTTTGGAAGTTAGAAGGGGAAAGAAAGGAAAAAGAAAAATGGATTGAAAGAAAAGATAGAAAACGACAATATCCCTAGTTCAAGTGTTAAAAACACAGAAAATAATAATAATAACAACAATAGATAAATAATAATATGAATATATGGAGGAACTGAAATACAAAATTAAGACTAGCCCTCCACTTCTCTTCTTCACTCAACAAACTCTAAACACGAAAAAACAAAAATACTTTTCTTCTTTTCTTTCCAATCCCTTCCCCCTTGCCTCTCCTGTCCAAACCAACCCACTATCTCACTGCTAAGTTGAAAAGGTGTGGCCAGGTTTGAGTAGATTCATGCTAAGCAGATAAACTCCTTTTTGTATTGATTTTTCAAATTCAAACAACAGAGCAGAGGGAAACAGAGAGAAGTATACCTGACATCGATCCCTATATTCCTCTGGAAGCTCCTCAGTAGCCAACAAAGCATCAAGCATACCGAAGTAAACCTGAATATGTTCACAAAATTTGAACTTCATTGATGATTTGAAGGTATGAGGCAAAACAATGCACAAGAAATCAATACCGACTTTAGACAAAACTATCTTCTTATATTGAATCTATGCAACAAATTAGACTAAATTATGCATAACAAAGAATGCCACCAGTCATATGAATAAAGGTAACTTAAATGAGGGAAAGGTTCACTTACTGCCATATCTCCTAATGACTTGCAACAAATTGGACAGGTGTAGTGACTGCAAGTGTATGCCTGGCAGACCATTACAAGGTGAAGTTAGATTTGAACACTGCCAAGATACCCATAGAAGAAAGAAAAATATTAAAAGAAAAAATAGATTCATATCAAAAGATTCAGATTAAAAAAGAGACCTGAAAACAAGCTGAGTGCATATAATGACCACAAGGTAGGGCTCTGACTGCAGCACTTGATGTGAACAAGAAATCGCAACATATGGGGCAGTTTGTTTCTAAACTTTTCTCAAGGCATTTGTGGTTCGCTAACTTCATCCCCAGGCAACAGTTGCATGTCATGCAGTGAAAATAATCGATGCCCAGGCCCTTTCCGACACGGCATAAATTGCAATATGGACAATGATAAATAGCTCTAATGTAATAAGAAAAGAATGTCATGTTCTAAAGTTAAGGTAAGCATATATAAATTTGAAAGGACAAGACAACAAAAAATACCAAACAGATTTGAACACCATGCTTTCGGAACCAACCAACTCATTTTAACTGAGTCGATTATGTCCCCCAGCTCTTTACTAAGGGGATAAAGATTCAAACCTATGAATTCAATCAAAATTTATGAAGCCCATTGGATCCAGCGAAGAAAAAAAAAAGCTTTTTTCAAAT